GGTCTTTAATTTATTCGAAGACAATTCGTTTTTAATAGAAATACGTAATCACATTAATTGTAAGCTAGATATGTAATTTTTTTTAACAGTGGCCTAGATTCTACGTTAACTTTACAGTTCTGGGAGATGAAATTTAAAGCGGGGTCCAGCGTATAATATACGCTAGAATAACTAAGTATAAAGATGAGTCCTTTTTATATTATTACATTGCTGACATTGACTGGGGTAAGAAGATATTTTATCGTATTTCATAACATATATATATATATATTATATGATAAAGCTGCTTTTGACGTGTTGTACAACAATTTATATAGTATTATATACGTGTATATTATTTATAGGTACTCAGACTTCTGATGCGCGAATAAAACTGCGGAGACTTTATTATTATTTTAGTTGAAATATTGGTATTATCATTTATTTTTGTTATACTACAWACCCACTGATACACACACACACACACACAATATTATCATTGTTTAAAACTTTGAAGGGTATTTAAAAAATAATCCAAATCAACAAATACGTTTAGATCTTATAAAAGTTTACAACGAGAACGTAGTGGAAAAACACTTCACATTTTTCAAATTATATCATTATATTATGTTATACTATTCATATCATATACAAAATACAAATTACACTTTAAAAATAAATAAAAACGTATTCATTACAATATTATTTATGCAAACCTGTTAAAACATCAACAAATATAAAATTACTATTGACTTTTTTTACGATATAATAATAAAAAAATATATAATACATTATATTATTGTCTATATATGAGAGTATACCATTCTACTATATTTCACTGACTCAAAATATTATATTAYATTTTATGTATTATACGTGTCGTTTATTAACTCATTTCTCCGACAATTCTGAGGAATTTTTATGTTGACTTATACGTTTACGTGTTCTTATATTATATCTGTGTGTTATATACATTTATAAGATATAATATCGTGTGTATAACCGTCAAATTTCGCAGTGTCAACTCCCAAGCCACGAATTGAAACTATTTTTTTCTTTTTTTTGAAATCTCTTATAAACGACCACCCGCAAGCGTGTGTGTGTATGTTTTCACTCAGATCGAACTGACAATCCGGTAWAATGCATTACGGTAATACGTCATAAAGATGATCGCAACTATGGATAAAAGGCACGCCATTAGTCATCACCGCACTGCAAAAGACGACGTAGTCCTTAATGGACATTATAGCTAGAAATGCACTCGACGATGAGCGCTTCGTATTAGGACAATATTATATATATTATATAGTAAGAGCTCTTAAACTCATCCCCTCTCTCTCTCTCTCTCTCTATCTCTCTCTCGTCTCTTTTGGTTACTCGTGTTTTTTTCATATATAATATTTTACTTGTAAGTTTTATATCAATATATTATTATAATTACCAAACACGAAAGAAGTCTGTACCTGTGTATATTATATAATATAATTCGCATAATTATTAAATGTATTGTGCCAACAGGCGAGAGTGAAAAAATGAAACTTTGAGTGCTTTCCTACCTATATATGCACTGTACAAGTTTTSTAGTGCTGTATGAGATACCCATATATTGAATAGTGAACACTATACCGTCTATTTTTTATTTAATTACACTCTGTTGAAGACAGATAATTTTATCAATAATGTTAAATTAAATATATTATAATATACTATAATATTTAGGTGTCTAAATTAATATAGACAAAAAATAATCTCGAATTCGTCGTTTGTCACGACCCGAGTGTTTTTCGTGTAATATAAAGAAGAATATGTTTAATTTTTTCTATACCTGTTTAGCATACTTGCTACACACAGACACTGCAACTAGATGTAAAGTTTATCTCTCCCCCCCCCCACCACTGACACAACTTATTCTGTTGATGTTCGTCAAACCTTTATTGTCAAGCAAATCATTTAAAATTTAAATGATTTATTCATTCGTGCGATAGTTTATATAAATACATTTTGTGAGTTCGGGTGTATATGTATATTGTATATGTATATACACTATACATGTATATTGTATATATATACTATTCTTTTATCTATATACATGGAGAATTTTCAAAGTTTTGAGAACAAGAGTTCAAAACAAGATACAAACACATTTCATTCTATCCACAGGCATTATATAGGAACTAAGATTTCATCTTAATTAAAACATCTTTAATTTCAATGTCTTGTTACTAAATACTTTCTGCTTTGCGTTTCAAAATGTTTCAACCTATTAAAACAATAACTATTTATTCATTGTCTTCGACAAACTCTTTTAAATATATATTTTTAATATGATATCACATTGTTGAAAGTGTTTATCACATATAAGACTCCTATATTTATAGGTAATTAAAATCTTTTACTTTCAAATCCGTATGTTTTCATATTTTTTTCCAACAATATTTTAATATCAATAAGTAGCTGTTGTAATTTGAATAAGTTGTTTTCATTCAGCGTAAAACGTTTATGTAACTTGCGATACTATAAATAATAACTGTTCATAGGACATTATGTTATATTAAGTGCAAAAAATAATAATATTTTATATTTCTATAGGTGTTGGGTATACAAATCGATGACACGTGTAATATTTAAATGGTATGATAATAGGAGCTCTATGTAAAAAAAATGACAGTTATAATGTAACATATAATGGACAATGGTATATTATTATACCTACCGCCTATTATCGTGATTTATGACATTGGTCGTTTTATTTTTATTSTTTTCCCATTTTGAACGATTATTGGTAAAACAATTGATTTGATTATGTTTTACACACTACAATTTAAATTTAATTGCCCAAGTATAGAAATACGTATTGTGRAATCCTGTTAWTTTATAAATATTAAGTTCGAATTATTTAAATGTAATTAGTATTTTTGTGATCTGTGAGACGTCACACCACCATCGAAGTATTTTTAATATATTTGAGCCAATTCGGTCATACAAATTATGTATCATTGCTTAAAATTGCATACAAACATTATGSTATAGGCTAGAATAATAAATGTAATATTTTTAAAAGAGAGAAGCTGGTTTGACGTACGTTAGGTATATTATGTATTTAAAAGGCTAGAAGTATAAATGGGAARTTATGTTAATTATGTTCGTATGAACATTGTTTTTATACCTATTAAAATACATTAAAAAACTGCAATAATATTTATTTTTATATTTAAAAAAATAGCTACTAAATTTTCCATTCATATCTGTCTTCGATCTAACTTCACTAAACTCAGTCTAACCATAAGTTACTTGTTCAGCTTATCTGAAAATKATATCATGTTTTTTTTTTTTATTCACACTATTATAACGTGTTTTTTCTCAATGGATTGTTGCAGGTAAATGCGTACCAGGACAACAAGATAACGTTGAAAGTGCTGGTTACCAGCACCGCGGTTATGGTTGCGGGCCGGTTGTGCGTCATGTCGGGCGCGGTGCCGTCGTTTGCGGCGTCAGACAACCCAGCGGCCAAGCACCCGGACCCGACCGTCAGGGCGCTGACGTTCTTGCACCTGCCTGTGGTCAGTGCCCGACTGCTGGTGTGGCCACAAGTGCTCAGCTACGACTGGTCGATGGACGCCGTGCCGCGGATCGAGTCGGCGGCCGACCCACGAAACGTGGTTACCGTGCTGTTCTACGCGGTTCTAGCGGCCATCGCTCGCGCTTCCGTCCGGCGGAAACGGACTGCCGTGGCCGTGGCCGCCGCCGTKTCCGTCGCCTCGTACGTGCCCGCGTCCAACGCCCTGTTCTACGTCGGCTTCGTGGTGGCCGAGCGTGTGCTGTACATACCAAGCGTCGGCTACTGCTTGTTGGTAGGCTCTTCGGCCGCCRCGCTGGCCAAGACCGCCAGTGGACGCCGGTCGGCCATCGTGTATGCCCTATACGCCGTGACGGTGGCCACCTACGGTCTGCGGACCGTGCTCAGAAACCGCGACTGGCACGACGAAGAGTCGCTCTACCGGTCCGGCATCCAAGTCAACCCACCAAAATGTAAGTGCACGTGTGACCTTTTCGCATCCAACTACATATAACATATGTACACATGGTTATTCAAAATGWGTCATTCGATTTCAAATGTTTATACATTTTTGGTTTTTAGTCTGAATAATATTTCAAATTTATTTAAATTTACCTCTAAAATATGTTCTTATTGGCTTCTTATGATGGTCACACAGACAACTCTAGTCCTTTCCACTGACCCTGTAAATTTTTTAATAGGGAWACGCGTATATCAACACATATCTCCAAAAAAATTAATCACATGGAGTAAGATAAGATGGCCCATAGATGCTAGGAAACCAGATGCAAAGCGCATATAAGATATTTAATTTTGAATAATAATTACCCTGTATTTTATTATCACAGTACGCCTCTACGACTCCATAACAGCAATAAATTATCCAATTATCCTGTTCACATGACCACATATCGTCCTTCACACTCCTCCGTATAATATGTCTACATTACAAAGGATTTTCGTCTCAAAGGTTTCGAAATTGTATTGTACTTGATGCAGATAGCAAAAATACAAAACTATAATAATATATTATTACATCGTATTATAATACTTATAAACATATTTTTTCACCAATTACCGTCGCGGTCAAATGATGTATATTTTTATTTAGATAGCGCGCATTCCACCGTGTTTCAATCGAATTAAACATTCGGATTACTGTTGTTTTACTAAAAGTTTAATGACATGTTTCCAGAAGACTTAAAAGCTAAAACTATACAACTTTCGATATTACAACAGAGCCGTATTTAATCCATCGAGTCATAACTATAAAGTGATCTGATGCTGTAGTATGGTAATACAATATATAGTTTTCGTATAACTAATACATACATTTATATATATGTATATGAGTATGTAATGTATTGTATACCAAAGTGTTTAAATTAATGTGCAAATTTTGAGAAAACACGTACCACAACTTAGATGTACTGTAATTGTACGCAACTCGGAGAAAAGTTATTCAATGAAAAACCATAGGCTTTCTAGAAATCTCAATTAGCCAATAAGCATATTCAAATTCAGAATACACAATATAGTGTGTCATAAAATTATATATTTTCTTCTAAAACGTTAAATATAAATTATAGGTTAAATTTTCTTTTCAAAAACTCATTAAAAGAGTCTTTTTCCCGAAATTTCTTATCTTATCTATAACGCATGTTATTATTGTTTAATTGTTGTTTTAGTTTTATGCATCCCACAATGTGTTCTCAACTAAAAGTTTAAAAACAACAATAAAAAAATTCATCCAGTATCTTTTGATTGTATATACAATATACTATACAGAGTGATTCATGAGGCGTAAAACACTCATTATTTATAAAAACTATTTACTTTTTTCAATTTTTTTTTTTTTCAAAATTTTAGATCTGTGCTGCTCTAAAACTATATAAATGTTTAATATTGTTCACCCTTATATTTATTAGGTAAACCGCACTATCAACTTTTGATTTTTAAATTGCAAACTATATTATCAATATCATAAATTAATAAGACTATTTTTTTAATGAATTGTCACGTTTAAATTTTCTTTTTTTGTTAATCCGTTGACGAGATATAGTCTCCCAAAGTTGTATGGTTTTGGGGTGGTGTTTGTTTATAAATGTGTTATACCATGTCAGTACCGCGGCCGCAGCAATTTGGATTTTTGTGCTCTAGCGTAAAACAAAATACACATTTCAAACAAAAATTCAGTAAGTACGATAGCTAAGCCTAAGTTGTGCCCCAAAATAGGTAAATATTTTTATACACATTTAAGGACAAACACCACCCCAATACCATCCAACTTTTGGATACTATATCTCGTCAACGGATTAACGAAAAATGAAAATTTATTWAAAAAATAGCCTTATTAATTTATGATACTTTTAATATAGGTTGCCATTTAAAAATCAAAAGTTGATAGTGGTTTACCTAATAAATATAAGTGTGAAAATATTAAAAATGTACCTATATAGTTTTAGAACAGCATGTATCTAAAATTTTGAAAAAAAGTAAATAGTTTTTATAAATAATGAGTGTTTTACGCGTCATGAATCACCCTGTATATACTCATATGCATTGTGTAGAGCAGTCTTATAAAAGATAATTTAAAAAAAAGTATTAGATATAGTTAGGTTAGGTATTTACTATTTAAGTATTTAAGGGACACAAATACGTAGGTATATTTATAGATGCTTTCAAATATTAAAAATGTTTGAATGAAATTACTTTATACTAATGTTAAACTGAATTTTTTGATCATTTTCTTAGTATTCATCAAAGTATTTAGCATTRTATATTCAGTCGTATACAAATCACACACACACACATACATACATACGAAATATTTACGATCGTGACAATGAGAATTTAGAAATCTAGCATTTTAAAATTAATATTTTTCTCTTTATTAAATTTATTTTTAATTGTACAATAAAATCGATGGATTACAGTGCTTAATTTTAGCATACTATAATGCCGACCGATTATCAGCTGTAAATTTGAAACTATGTATAGGTACGTGAAAATAAACTTTCTGGAAATATTTACATTTATTGTTTATATTATAGGTATGACATACCTATACAAATATATAAATTCAAAATAAATATATATATATATTATATATGAATGTTTTAGTGACAATTTTTAATGAAATGTACAAAGTAAGAAAAAAAGAATTTTAAATACAAACCCTTTAAAAAATTATTTAAATCACGTATTTGAGTATTTGACATAATAATAATAACTATCATTTAATCRACAATCTTTATATATTAGGAAAACATTAGTAATCAATAAAATAATTATCAACTAATATTTAATGTCGTCGATGTTTATTAGATTAATAAAATAAAATAAATAATAATAATAATATTAATATAAATAGGTATTTATAAATAATACTTTATTTAAATACTTTTACTCGATAGATGTTTAAGAGTAGTCAAGAGAACATAATATCATATAAAATAGTAAAACTAAGTTTTATATACAATCATAATATTATGTATTATCTATACATGTTTGTTTGAAAAATAAGTCCATGCGGTTTATGGTATTTATGATCACTGTCAGRCGAAAAACATTACGTATTATGCGTAGGGATACGTTTTGAGATATTACCGTTTGCTGTCCCGCTGTAAGACAACAATACAATAATTTACATGTATTATATGTACAAATACATATGTAATATATATAAATATGTAAATACCTTCCGTTACGCCATTTTTTAGTCTTTACAATGTATAGTTACCGGMATATTTTTAGGGAAAAAAATACGTKYTGTTAGGATACTAACATTGCGTGTACGCCACCTGATAAACTCCTTAGTGTTTTTAATTTCGTGCCCCTTTCCATTCTTAGCGTTCCAGGCTATAAGACCATACCTATCAATCCATTGGCAACATTACAACCCTTCGATCCAGCAGCGCGCGCCTGTTTTAATTCAATCAAACGGAATAGGTTCTACTGATCGCTTCCGTTCTTTTCCCCTCTTTTTCACCGTCACTATTTCTCCCTCTTTTTTATACACACATACAGAGTCTCTCCCTCTCTCTCTCTCTCTCTCACACACACACACACACACACATACTCTAATTCTCATCTCGAATCTTGATTACATTTTAGCTTATGGCAATCTCGGTTCGATACTCAGCTCTCAAGGCAGAACAAACGAAGCAGAAATGGCATACCGATCCGCACTCAAACATCGGCCAAACATGGCTGACGTRCATTACAATCTGTGAGTAACAATATTTTCTAATAATTTCAGACTTTACTCTCTACACAGTCTACGCCTATCACCTTTGTCTTTATAACATAATCACACATTTGCGCGCAGATGATCACAATGATTATTATTATTGTTTGTATATGAGAAATGTCGTACTTATATTATTTATTTGTTTTTTTTTTTTCAAGAAACTGCTAAGGTTAATGCTATTTTCGAAACTCTATAAATAATATCGTTTACCGCATACCTGTCAGGCTAAAAATAAAACAATTTTTTACTTTAAATTTTGTATATATTCCGTTGCCTTGTTTCACTCGTAAAATATGTTCTGTTATTTATCGGAGGGGTGAGTTTTGTGCCAAATGTGCCGTATAACAATCACAGTCTTTATTGAAGACCGTAAAAAAATATCATTTCTTATTGTTCCTCATCTCCTTTTCGTCTACGGAACAAAACAATAAATTGAGATACGCTAGGAAAAACAATTTAATAACACACCCAAGAAGCTTATAGCTGTCCGAAAGTTGATGGCTTTTATACGCCTACTTTTGGTGAACGAGCGCGATATATATTTTTCTTTTTTTTTCGTTTTATCTAAAAAGAATGAAACGTCATGTTACTCACATAATGAAACTCAAGAATATAAAAAAAAAAAATGCAATAAAAACCACATTGTTTTGTAGTTTAGTGGTATAGAATGACATGTGGTCTAGAACATTGCAAGTGAAACGATCACGTTTTCGTGTGATTTGTCTTGGTTACTTTCAACCCAATTCTTTCATTTTTACCCAAATTAAAATCCTGCTGTATAAAAGTACATACATTTTT